GGCAAGTGTGTTTGCATCATAAAGTCCTCAGAAATCACCATCCAGAGCAGAGCAGAAAAAAGCGAAGGACGGACAGTGCTGTGGTTCAAATGTGTCCACCAAAAGTTCATGTACTGGAAACTTGATCTCAGTGTTAACAGTATTAAGAGGTTGGGAAATCTTATCACAATAACTGAAAGATGGGGCCTTTACGAAGTGAGTAGGTTGTTAGGACTGTGTCCTTGTGAGTAGATTGATCCATTCATGGAGTAACGAGCATGGCTCTGAAGCCATAATAAGGAGAGTGAGTGAGGTTCTCTATCTTGCTCAGCCATTCAGGCATGTGATACCCTGCCCTTCTATAGAGAGCCACCACCAAGAACAAAGACCTCACCAGTGTGTCCCCAGGGTTTTGGACTTCCCAGCCTACAGAACTGTGAGATTAGAAATACATTTTATTTCCTTATACATTATCCAGTTTCAGGTATTCTGTTTTAAGCAACAGAAATGGACTAATATGGGGAGGGAGGAAAGAAGGGAAAGAAAGAATAAACAGCTCAGGCAGTTTCTTTAAAATTAATTTGGAAGAGGAAGAGGCGGGGATGCAATCTAAACAAGGTAGCTCTGTGGTTGACTGGCAGGAATATTCATACCACCTTGTCCCTATTGTTAGAATAGTGCTGACAAAATGTCTTCATAACTCCGTCCTGCCCCGGTGCACCAGCTGCAGGCTCCCTCTAATTTCCCATTTGGATACGACTCCTTCCCAATCAACCACACAGGGAAGATTTTTTTAATTTTTTTTTTTATTTTATCAGTGTACAATGTAGTTGATTTTCATGTCCCTTTACTTAATATCCCTCCCCCTTTCTCTCCCGCCTCCCACCCATTAACATCAAATCTGTTTGCTTGTCTTAAAAAATTCAAGGAATTGTGATTGTTGTGTCTTATTTCCTTCCCTCCCGCCATTTGTTTGTGTATTTATTTATTTATTTATTTTTAGCTCCCACAAATAAGTGAGAACATGTAGTATTTCTCTATACAAGAAAAATTTGTAATGGCAAAAGAACAAACAAATCTAGAGATGATAAGAGACAGCATATCTGCCAAGTTGTTTGGCTGATACGTGGTGGGTTGAGTTAGCGTGACCTCTGTGCCATAGAATGTACCAGAAAGGTCTGTGTGGAGGTAGTCAAAGGCAGTGGTCAAGGAGAATAAGCTAAAATCAGTTGAAGGAGGGTTTACCCTGAATGCAGCTCAGGACTGTCCGAAAATCAATCACCCAACCCAAGTCTTTCTGGAATGAATAAATTAATTTTACACCTTTATCCAGCTGTATGTGGTAAGAAGACTCTTGTGAGAAAGTAACTTTCCCCGTTGCCTTTTTTAAAAGAGAATTTGCACCATGGCTGATGCTGTCCTTGGAATAAAGGACTCAACTAAATTGATATACAGAATCTATTCATGGGCCATGAGAAATCAAAAGGTTTTATATTTTGACTCAATATAAACATTAAAACTTGAAGCAAGACTTACACAAATATAACCAACTTATTTTTGACAAACATGCAAAAGCAATTTGATAAAGGAAAGCCTCTTTAACAAATAACAAATGGTAGAGGAGCAATTGGACATCTATAAGAATAAAAAAAAGGAAAAGAACTTCAACCTAAGTATCACACTTCACACAAAAATTAACTGAAAATTGATCAAAAACTTATATGTAAAATGAAAACTATAAAATTTTAGCAAAAAACACGGGAGACAAATGTTGGGACTTAAGGTCGGGTGAAGAGTTTGTAGACATGACATCAAAAGCACAATCTATAAAAGGAAACATTTTTAAAATGGACCTCCTCATTAAAATTTAAAATGTTGTCTCCATGAAAGACCCTGAGAGAGGATAAAAAGATGAGTTACTTACTGAGAAGATATTTGCAAACTACATTCCTAACAAAGAATAAATATCTGCAATGTATAAAGAATTCTCAAAACTCAACAATAAAAATTAAACAATGCTAAAATACAAAATAGCAACAACACCAAATGCTGGCAAGGATGTGGACAAACTGCAATACTGTTACTTTTATGGTAGGAAAGTAAAATAGTATTATCACTCTGGAAAATAGTTTGGCAGTTTCTTGGAAAAACTAAGCATACAATTACCATGAAACAAATGTGAGAAATTTTTTTATGTGTAACCATTTCATCTTTATACTGGTTCATGAAATGTAACACATGTCAAATTATTATAATGCTGGTGCAGTAAACCCATTATTATACAAAGACATCCTCTCAACAATCTATATCCAGGTGATAAAACGTGAGTCCATTTTCTAACTCTGTGAATATTTTCTTCAATTCAGCATGTGAAATCTATTTCATTAAATAATTGTAATTTAGAATTGAGTCTCCTGTCCTTTGACATCAAATTAAACCATGCATTACACGTAAAGGAAAATCAGAATAGAAGACCCAACAATAACAACTGTCTTGTAACATCACTTTATTTTCAGCTACATAAACATGTTTCTCAGGTAACGTTACTAGCACAACTTGTTTATGAGGTTTTATAGTTTGGGGTAAATATATTTAAAAAAAAGCTTATCTCTATTGTACATAGTTGTATTATAAAAATGATTTACAGGCTATATTTCTCAGAAAGCAGGTCTAGACAGTAATCCTGTTGAAGAAAGTTTCTTATTTATCCTATGTTATAGAATGAAAAGATATGAATAAAAAGTCTTCTGATCATAATGTTTGGAACCATCAAAGGAATGTTCAGTTTCCTCCACAAAGAGCCACCAGGATTTTTTCATAATCTCCCTTGGTTTCATCCTGTCGATTCAAAAATACAGTATACTTAACATTACCCCAAATCATAATAAACATAAGATAGTTGTAATTATAGAAAAAATATTGTATTTGTAGACATTAAATCAGATTATACAGTATAGTACATCAATTACATGGGATCTTTGATAATAATTCCATTCATTTAATTAAATAATATGTCTAGCAGAAAACTGATATTTCTTGATTGCCATATAAAGAACAATAGCTTTCAAGATTCAGATTAAGAACTTCTTTGAATTAACTATATTTTATATTAGAGCCATTATTTTCAAAAAATGAAATATAATCTCACACAGAACTGAATAACACAATATAATACCTAATTCACTCATCAGAAAGAGAGAAAGTTATAAGCCTGTGATTATTTTTACTTTTTCTTGGTAGATTTTAGTTATCCAAGGCAAATAATGAACTGAATTTAAATAGTTATCTATCTTTCAATAAGTTCAAAACTCCTGACTTCTCTTTCTGTCTTATTTTTCAACATGCTAATGAGATAACATGAATATATATTTTAAACACTTTACATATGACAAAATTAAGAAAAATATTTTGAAATACATTCCTAATCCTCTGACCAATATTCATCACAAAATAAATCATGATGTCTATCTACACTAGCAGAAAGTCTAAAATATTTTGCTGCTAAGTTTAAGTATAAAAAACTAAACATTTCCATGATTTTTATTGAAAATGTACCCGGTTTTCCAGTAAAAAATTTACTAGTAAATTTTACCAGTGATAGTTCAATTAACTCATGAAGTACGCACCCTGATATACTGAATTAATCTAATATATGAAATTCATAGATACAGCAAGTCAGCTCTTTTCTTTGAAGA